GCGGGCTTATATAGGCACTAAGTACATTAGGCAGAATCTGATTGCTCCAAAAACAACCTAGAGCCCTCATTAGCATACTTGATGAAGACAGGAAAAAGCCCCTACACATGCGCGTTCACCCCGTTATCAGTCTTGTGGTATGGGTGTGACCAGGAAGTCGGCGCCATCTTGCAATGGCGTTGACACGCGCCCCACATCTCCCCTGTTTATTAATTAATGAAAACTGAGCAACCAATCAGCACCACCCTTCGACAGTACGATCAAAGTCGCAGAGTCTCATCTACCCAACGGCCACCTTACTCCGTGCAAGAGGAAACTCCGAGGTGTGCAATGGCTGCGCTAGGGTCAGAGACATGCCTTCTGGTCAATGGGGTAATCCCCCAGAGTGCAAAGCATGGTCTAAGAACACAGGAGAACGAGAGCAGGTGCAACCCCATACAGAGCTACCCGGTTAAGCATGGTCAACCACACCTTGTGTTGACAGTCCAGTCCATAGCAGCAAAGGCCTTGCGCATTATAACCATTGTCTCTCCTCTCACTGGCCGCATCCTAAGGAGAACCATAGCGCTCCGAAGGGAAGTGACGACCAAGAGATGCGCATGAGTCCCAAGCCAGCCCATCTTCCCAGGTGCTGAGTGGCTTGATGAATCCACCGTGCCAGTCCTGTAGCCCATGCTCACTGTCCACCAGTAGATTTCATATGGATGAATGCGTCCCCTCAGGTCCCTAAGAAGAGGCATCAAATGCGCGCAGACCCAGTTGCACGCAAATAAGCAGATGCAGCTGTTGAGATAAGGTTTACGAATGGGTATGGTTCTGAATGGAGAATGATGCAGACCCTGACCAGCTTCCATTCACATCCCAGTGGGACTGCCCCAGAGAGGGGTGAATTGTACTGCTCTGACAATCTTAACGCGTTGGTTTGAGTATCAAGGGCCGTACTACGCCGGCTGACCAGGTTATTAACGCCGTATGCGGTCTGCAGTGTTTGTACTCAAAGCTACAGCCGACGCTGCCGGCAGCATAAGCGCGCCGGCAGCGAAGCGCAACATTGCAGTGTGATTCCGAGATCCTGCGAGTCCCTGACCAATGTTAATGGAATTGGAAGCGTCTACAGAGACAGGAATATAGTCTGGGTAACGAGCAAACCAACCCAGCCAAGACAGGATGCAAGGGCATCCAATCACAACCGTATATTTACAATGATGATCACAATTAACAGGAAGTAGCAGGTTCTCAGATACAATCAAATGAAATGGGCGCTAAACCACAAACGGGTAGGGCAAAACCCACCTTTGTCCCAGCAAAAACTCACAAACTAAACGAGTCAACCTAAAATTCCATGCGAAACTACATTCCCTGCATACAAAATTGGAAGGGAGAAGTCTGTGCACTCGTACCCACACAGCAACCAAGCTAAAGGGGGTATCGGGCGGGGCCAGAACAGGACTGATAGGAATTAAGTCTGTGATACATTATAAAAGTTCATACGGGGGAGAACGTGAAATAATCTTTACTGCCCAAGTGTAGTCTGTAGCCTTGGCAACCGTAAACAATGGGAACAGAGCATCCTCTTTTACCCCAGCAACCGAGGGCACTGGGTTACCTATCCTTGATCTGTTCCTGACATCACGAGGCGCAACCCCGATAAGAAGGTTGCATTGGATAGAGTTATGAAACTCTAGGATCAAACCAAGCCCGCTGTCCCCTATTAGATAGTGAACCCCAATCAGCAACGCTCGGAGATATTCCTAAGGACCAGGTAAAACACAACCCTTCAAGAAAGGACTATTCCTCCCAGTTTACATACTCTGCCGGGTCAACGGCCAGGTAACGAGTGCCCAGGGAAACAGTTATAGAAAGAGGCGGGGAAAAATTGGGGATTATGTTCACCAGCATCGGCAGAGGGAAGTGACAGGATCGCCTCCCACGGTCCGGCCATCCTCGGCGATCATCCCATACTGTCGTCCAGAAGAGTATATGGTCCCCCATGCTGCCTTCTGAGGCTGCCACGTCTGTCAAGGCGCGTGGCACCCAGATGGGATTTCCCTGTCCTGTGGAAAACAATACAAAAGCTCCCCCATGATCTCATTACACTGGATCCGGCGCCCTTTCCTAATTAAGACAAACATCATTTTTTTTTTTTTTTTTTTTTTTTTTTTTTTTTTTTTTTTTTTTTTTTCCACTCACATAATTCTTTCTGTGCCGGAGCCAGGGTGCCCATGCTCTTGCTGCTAACCTTGACATCTAAATAAAAAAATTAAGAAAGAGAGCAAAGAGAGCTGTCTTTGGTTATACTAGCTGCAGGGCATCTCCCTTTTTGTTTTGTAAACATTTGACGTGCCTGAGCACCACGATTTGCGCTTGAGGTGTAAGGAAGACTGTATTGTGCTCCACACCCCCAAGGAGTCAAAAACCTGCTAAAAGATTGAGGTATGATAGGGCATTATCCCTGTCTAATAGCCCGGCCTTCCAGGCGCCAAGCTCCTAGCCACGTGAGTGATATAACTTCCTTTTCCTCCCAGCCAAGGCCTCGGGCAGAAGAGCTGAGCAGTGTTACAGACCGTACACTAAGAACTTCAAAAGATGGACCATGATTATCATATTTGCACATGTAGATGCCACGCAAACCTGATAGCACGCCCGTTGAATAAAGGCAAAAGGGCAATTAGCATTGCACACAATCTCACCAGCATCACACCGCGTGATGTTATAAGTGAGTTTCAGACTCCATGAATAGTTGATGAAAGTCTATGCAGCTGCGTGGCCGGATCAGACCCCAGAGGCGAGACGGGAACATACATTTCGCCAGCCCATAGGGTCCAGGTAACAAGAATGGAGACTCTCATAATCTATGGAAATGGTTCCTTTGTCTGAAAGCATTCTAATTCTGGTAATCAGAAAAGACAGACTCTTGCAAATGTAAAGATCTTAACTGTTTAATGCGTTGAACATAAAAGGGAGTCTGAGAAGATTTGATAGGGTTAGTGATGTACTGAGAAGACGATATGGCACACTCTACTACTGAAGGAGATAGAATATTAAATGTTTGGTATACACCTTTCACTGAATGATAGCTCACCAATACCTGTCTTAGACCATTCGTAACACATCCAAGCCATCAACCAAAGGTTGCAGGAAGTATCTTGGAAAAACTCGTCCTCATTGCAAACTGCAGCAGAGGCAATGTCGGGAAGTCCAAACCTGGAAGGTGCCATCCTCAATAGGCCACGCACAAGAGTGGCACATAAGGGTCCTGACTGGCAGTATTGGAATCAAGCATCAGGGTGACCCAAAATGGAACAGCCAAACTAAACCTTTAAAGCTATCTCGGCACACAGAGATAGTGAGTCACCTTCCTGCAAGGCGTGGATCCCACCCCATAAAAGGGCATTGCAAAGCACTGCCTAGGAGCGGGGAGAAGGGATCAAGAGGAAAAAGACCGTGGTGCTGAATGCGCACGTCTGTGCTTCTGAGCTTTTCCTCTATGAAGAGCCTTAAGGCTCAGAGTCAAAGTCTAGGGACGTATAGTGAGTCTCCCTCTAGAATCGAAAAAGGCTTTCAGTTCTGCTTGTAAGACATAGAGGTCCAACCATACTTTCCTAGTAGTGCCTTTTGAAATTTTAATTGTTTAAGCATCCTCCTTCGGATGACAGATCTTTGTAGATTTTCAGGGAGAATCTATAACAAGAAACGCCCCATTTCATCACTCATTGCACCTTCCTCAGGTCGACAGCAAGCCTTTTTCTTAAGTGACGAGGGACCTCATAAGCCTGCGTAGTCGCCATCATCCACAATGACACAAAGAATATCATCTCATATAGTGTATTTTTTACCTTGAATTCGGCCCTAACGGCCGATAGCGGCCACAAAAGTTGGCACCATAGTGGACTATTACCATGCCTGAGAGTAAAACCTGCATTGATATATTGCATCGGCTGCTCATGGTTATGAAAGGACTGAATGCAAACCTGCTTTTATCTTGCAGGGGCACAACACAGAAAATAGCTTTACAATAATAACTCAACTGTTTAGGAAAGCAGAGAGAAGGCATCTTTGAAAGTAACATTGGTATCTAATCATGAACCATCTCATAAGATTTTTTTTCTATCACCAAAAATTCAGGCGGGTTTCAAGGAGATTGAAGCTCAAGGATGCCAAGAGTAGTTTTGTCTTGGACTGGCTATGGCAGCGAGTAACCTTTGAGGTAAGAGGGAGCACTGGAGTCCCCACGCCTCATTTCCTATGGCAGAGGTCCCCAGAGCGTAAGAAACCCAGCCTTGTAGAGGGTCCGTGCACAGGGTCTATAGGTTAATTCCTACCTCAAGTTCTTCCCAAGTCCTTTACTGACAAGCCCATGGCTCTTATTCCTAGCCTTTTGACTTTGAACAGAGTAGTCATTGGTCAATTTGAAGTCCAATTGCCGTAGCAAATCTCTACCCCAAAGGTTCACAGGCAGAGGTAGGACATAAGGTTGAAAACTGCCCTCTCTACCCTCATTATCCTTCCATCTCAGTGTCTGGGCGCTGATCACTGGAGAGGATGCATATCCCAATCCCTGCAAAGTTTGAGCTGAGGGGGCCAATGGCCACGTTTTTGGCCACCAGTGTTCAGAAATTATACTAGTGTCAGCTCCTGTATCCAGGAGGCCCGTAAATGTCTTTCCCTGTATGGTTAAGTCCATAGTAGGGCATTCATCTAAATTCAATGACAAATACGCACAGTTTCCTCCGGAGGAACCAAAACCTTTTTCTCCTCTAGTTTCTTGTTTACTAGGGAATAAAGAATGGAGGCTAGGTAAAATTAGCAACTGTGCTATCCGGTCTCCTGGATATATGGGAACTATGCCTCTAGTTGAAGAGCAAAGAATCTTCACTTGTCCCTCAAAGTCTGAATCAATAACCCCTGGGTGAACTATCAGTCCCTGCAAAGTTGAGGAGGACCTTCCAAGGACAAGTCCTACAGTATGTTCAGGCAACGGCCCCTTGAAATCAGATGGGACGGGTTGGCACCCCATGAGAGGAGTTAATACTGTTGTGGTGGTGGCACAGAGGTCCAGTCCTGCGGAACCTTTAGTGGCTCTCCTCGGCTCCCCGGAGGTGCCAGCGACGGCACCGGAGTGCTCTGCATGACCCCATATATTTGAGGGCCCTGAGGTCGAGGGCCCCGGTTCCCGTTTTTTTGTTGGTCATGTTCTTTTGGCGAACGGTTGATTGGTCTTCCTTTAATATCCTTGGTGGATCTACACTCACTGGCCCAATGTCTTCCTTTTTGACAAGTAGGGCATATCCCCGGCACCTTAGGCTGAGGGCGCTCCTGCTTGGGCAATCTGCACTGCCTCTTAAGGTGACCGGGTTTTCCACAATTGTAGCAGGTCATATCCTTGCCCTTTTGAGCGGCTAGCACAGCAGCTGCTAACCCACTGTTGGTCAGGGGGCCTCCTATCTCCCTGCAGGCCTTCAACCACGCATTAAGGCCTTTGTTCTTCCAGGGAGCAATTGCATTACGGCATTCCGTAGTGCACTGCTCAAATGCTAGTTGCTCTATCAGGGGCATTGCCGTCTCCAGATCCCCAAATACCTTCCCTGCTGCCTCCACTAACCTTGCCACAAAATCTGAGAAGGGCTCAGTAGGCCCTTGTATAACCTTTGTTAAATTTCCTCTTACCTCTCCCCTGTTTGGTAAACTTTTCCATGCCTTTATTGCTATGCTGTTAATCTGAGCGTACACCTGTGGGGGAAAGTTGGTCTGATTAAGCAGCCATTGTCCCTGCCCTGTGAGCATGTCATAGTTCCAGGCAGCCTGCCCCTGCTGTGCGTTTGCTCTGGCTTGGTTCATACAACCTTCCTGAAAAATTGATTTCCAGTCTAGATACTGACCAGTAGTCAAGCAGGCCCTTGTTGTATTACTCCAGTCATCAGGGGTCATAGCTAAGTTACCAAGCCTCTCCACTTGGGCTATGGTGAAAGACGCCGTAACCCCCCAGGACCGCACCGACTCAGCAAGGTCTTTCAATTGTTTGTGCTGGAGAGGCTCATGATACCGTTGCTGATTGTTGTTCTCGAAAACAGGGAATGAGAGAAACATTTTCCTCATATCGCGGGGCCTGATAAACGAGCTCCCGCTGACTTGTTTGGGTCTGGCTCCTCCCTGCTCTCTCAGAGGAGGGGCGGTAGGGGCAGTGAAAGCAGCGTCACTGTAGGGCGGCGGCCGATATCGCCCCGCCTCATACTTTGCTGCTTCCTCTTCCAAAGTAGCTTCCTCCTCTGAATCTAGCTCCTCCCCCGCCTCCTCCCCTGAACTTGAGGAAGTAAGAGAAGAGGAAGAAGTGGAACCATCCTCAGAAATATCTAATTTCTTAAATTCTGACAGAAAAAGGCTATCTCCTCTGTCTTCTGTGTATTCTGTCCTGTCCTTTCCTTTATCATTTTTATTTTTGGTCCCTTTACGTTTCTTTCTCTCCCTTTTCTTTTTTCCAGGCCTTCTCCCTTTGTCTGACTCCGAGGTACTGTCTTGATGGTCAGAGAGCACCTTTTGCCCTGCCTGTACCTGGGCTGCACAACTCTTATCATTCAGGCACGACCGGATCATAGTCCACACAGGGAGCGTGCCCTGCCGTAACGTGCCTTGCTCCTCTCCCCGCAGCAGATCTTTCTCCAACTTATCCCAAGACGGGACATTCAATGACCCGGAATGGAGAAACCATGGAGCGACCCTGTCCACCTCCTTCATAAAATTCCACAGCAGACACTCCGATAGGGCCAGGTCCCGCGCCTGCAGCACACCCTGCAAAGCTTGTACAAAGGGGCGGCTTTGGGAGCTCCCCATTTCTCCTTTATCTACAGGAGCGAAGAGCACAATGCACTTATTCAAAACGAAAGCAGGGAGCTCATGGACTCTCAATAACAGCCTACCTTGGTCAGCAAAGGTCCGAATTCGGTTCCGTCCCACGTGTCAGTTCGGAACTCACCTCTATCGAGGTCGTCTCCGCTGGTGCCTCAAAGTTGTTTCGGTTCCTGGGTTTCGGCACCACTTGTCGCGCCCGCCTCTCCAGCAAGGAAGACGCGGCAACCGGAGTTCTTCTGACAGCGCTTTATTGGGGAATCTCAAGGTGACTAAAGTGGAAGACCCCGAGGAGCTCTCGGAGCGGGCTTATATAGGCACTAAGTACATTAGGCAGAATCTGATTGGCTCACGCAAGAGCCCTCATTAGCATACTTGCTGAGAGACAGGAAAAAGCCCCTACACATGCGCAGTTCACCCTGTTTATCAGTCTTGTGGTATGGGTGTGACCAGGAAGTCAGCGCCATCTTGCAATGGCATTGACACCGCGCCCCACACAGAGCCACGCTGGCAGGTTCGGAGGCGTCGAGCAGGCTCCACTGCGTGACAAGGGCAAGTCTAAGAGGCTTCTGGCCTCAGCACGGGCAGGATACTCTAAGGCTGCACGAGTGGCTCGGTTAGGGTGCTAATAGGAACGGAATGGGAAGGTAGGCAAGCAGCAGGCACTGAGAACCGATAACAAACCCCTTTGTTGCCCTAAGGACACCGTCTTGTCACTCAGCCTGTAATAGCCACAATCATGGGCTACGTCCTGAGGAGCTGTGCCCTCAGCAATTAAGCACAAATGAGAAATTAAGTGGACAGTTCTCCAGACTGCTTGCAGTCCCTCTTAGAGATATCACTAGGGAAAAGGATGCTAGATTCCTCTTACTTGCAGGGCCACAGGTGCAGGAGGTAGCAGGGAAATAAAGGTAGCTTGGACACATGCGGTACAATGTGTCGAAGACTCCGTTTCCCCATAAACATCTTGGCATCAAGACCCATCAGAGCTATACATAGATATTTTGTTGGCTATTTATGCTGTACCTGCACAGACACACTTTCTCTTAGGTGGGGAGAGGAGAGGTGACGGGTCTCTCTAGGCCCAGGCCTGCTGCAGGACGTCTCTCCAGGACGAGGCAGTCCCGGCCGGGGGCTCTGCAGGGCCAGCGCAGCACAGCCTCGCATGCCCCCGTCCCGACATTCGAAGGGAGCCGTGTCTTCTGAGTCCTGCTCCTGGGAGAAGAGACTGCCCGGGGCTAATCTGAAAATGAAGCCAGAGTGGCTCGGTCATGAGACTGCTGTCTAGAGACATAGTCCAGCTTTTTTTCCTGCTGAAACACAGGACCTTATAATTTAGCTTTCCAGTGAGTATTTATTCTCCTGGTTGGATTATTAGCCCACACATTTGGATATTTAATTCCTATAATTTCCAATCTATTACTAGACTTAATGGGTTTGACTCTTAAATTCAAAATATTTCAGCACTGACAAAGTTGTTTTATGCCACATCTGTATGGGTATAGTGGCATAAACAGGCAAGTGATTATGTGGCGTGCTCATCAGGGGGATAGGCTCGGCACTCAGTTGGCTGAAATGATGTAGAACGGTTACTTCTGACATCAGGGATTCTGAGTAGTCTTGTCCTGGCTGAAGTCCAGTGACCTGTGACCAGGTACACAGAAAAATATCCGTCCTTTATCTGAAAGTGCTGCACAGAAAGATCTAGCAAAGTAGTAGAAGCCTGGGATGAAACCCTAAGGAGGCTCTAACTGAGCAAACATCAGCAAACTTAGTGGTGTCCAGAATGAACATTCGGCAGGAGCACGCTGAATGGTGGATCAAACACGACCATGGTGTCAGCTGGACCTTTGCCCCACCCCCATTGTTTTCTATGCCCCCCCAACACCTGAGAAGCCCTGAGGGTGTGTGGAAACACAGGTGCTTCAGATTCAGACAGTGTTTTGTTTAATCTTAACTCTACCGCATGCCAGCTGGGTGAACTAAGGACAAGTTACTTAATCACTTATGGCCTCAGATTCCATGTCTGTTTAATGAAGAAAATAATAGCAATATTCTGAGGGCTGTTGTGTGGCTTAAACTTACAAGGAAAATGCAAGTGAAATGCATAGTGTGGTGCTGAGTAGACAGTGGATGATGACATCGGAGACAGATGGATTTGTTACTGGGATGACGTTTAGACAGAACAGCCATAGCCACCCAAATTCCAAATCTAGACCACTGCACCTGCATACATTGTGCTTCTGGTTGCATCCACAGTGCGTTGCTTAACTGTGTTGCTTGAAGCTTAAAGATATTGAAGTGATGGATACTACACAGAAAAACCCTCGATTTTACTAACATCATCCTCTTATATTTTCAGTCAGGGAATATTGCATTGCCTGAAAAAATGAGAAAAGGCTACTGCAAAATTATATAATAGATTTAAATGCACCTGTATTGATTATTCAATATAGTGTCTATATGTGTAATTGAGGTGAGATCTCTGTATTCCCTTGTTTCATCAGTATAGTTTCATGCGTATAACAGAGAATGCCATTTCATCCCGTGCAGTTGCCTCATGACTCTGTAAGATTTGGAATGTTCAAACTAGGCCTTTACATTTATTCTTCGATAAAACTCTCTTATTTCATTTAAGTGAAAGATCAAACCCTGATTTCTTTTGTTCCTTAGCAAAATAATTAACAATTATTATTTGATAATAGATTTCCCAAATGACTATCTTTACTGTGTGTGAACATATTTACTGTTTGGAAAAATAAAACCTGCAAAAGAGCTAAGTCATGCAATGTAGAAAATTAAGCTATTAAAGTGAGCATTTGTGAAGGCCAGTGACATTAGAGCAGAGATCAATTCTGAATTGTTGTCCCTGTCAAGATGAGCCTTTTAATATCTAAAAATGTCATAAATTCCTTTCTAATGAATTTGACATTATTAAGATTATATGTTAGAGTTGTCATCATATCTGTCCCAATATTAAGCAATGTTATTTTTGAGGCCCCCAAAATATCTTCACTAACAGAGGTTGTCACCACGTAAGGAACACATCACCAAGGCAAATGTTATGTGGCTTTCTGATATTCAGCTCAAAATAAGGGCAACAATTCTGACAATCATTTTCAAATCAATTTTGATGCAGATTATTTTCTCATTAGGTGGAAACAGAAAATCAAAGTGCAGAATGGTATGCACAATATACTACATTTTGTGTACAAAGGGTAAAAAACAAAGTATGTGCTTTAGACACTCTGGCAAGACATGCACACCACACACATACCCCCCCATACATGGTGGTCATGTTCCCGGGCAGATTTGGGTGGATAGGGAGTGGAGCTGGTAGCTATAAACATCTTAAGATTTTGTTTGATTTTGGAACCATGCAAATATATTACCTACTTACAAAATGAAATTTTAAAAACATGCCTTCATGGGATCTTCTTGCATAAATATTACTTTTCTCTTATATTTCTTGAGCCTGATTATGCTTTTCTAGAAACTAAACACCATTGATTCAGTTCAAAGAAAGACTGATATGTGAAATTAAATGAGATATTTCCCTATGTGTTTTTTATAGTTATAAGATTGGTTTTATAGTAATAGTTTCCCCAATGATTGTTGTATCTTTGAGATATCTACCAACCCATATAAAAGGCAGTTTCTCAACTGTTCTTAGGTCAGCTTAATCCTCAAACTGAAGAGACTGAGGAAGAATGCTTCTCCTGGATTGTAATTATTGAGTAAAGAAATTGCTCATTTTAATCACTTTTGAAGGCTAGGTTTTAAAGCATAATAATACAAACATCATACCTATAATCCTCTAACTTTTCCAGCCTGTGCAGCAAGCATGTTTTAGTACATATAACCAGTAAGAAATATATTAAATATGACTAAAAAGAAACAACAAAACTTTTAAGTGTTTTTGAAAAAGAATACTGTTATACCTGTGTTTTATTATAAATAAACAGGTTCCGTCATATTTTATTTTCTTGCCAGCAAATGAAGGACATTGTTTCATAAAGCTTCTAAAATGTACATGAATATTTAATTAAATCATATTTCCTTGAGAAAATAAAGTTCATTCGCATTTATAGCAGACACTTGTGAGGAGCTCATAATTTTCATAAGACCAGGGTAGCCAGTACCGATTGCTTGTGGAACAAAACTCCTCGATTTTTAAAACTTTTTTTTAAAAAATAAACATACAATCATAGGTGTTCATTTACTTTAAAAATTCTAAAGATGAAGAAAATTATTGTCTATATATTTAAGTCCTTGTATAAATTACAAAACTCAAGTTTATGTTACAGAGTCCCTTCCTTATAGGAAGCAATAAAGCACTTTTGTGGTACCTTTCACCAGTAAGTATTTGTATCACATTGAATTTGACAAACAAATAAAAGTCGATATTGCATTGTTAAGCCCCCAAGAGAACACTCTTCTCAGCTATCTCTTGTGATGAATGAGCTTCAAAAGTCATTTGATTGCCACGATTTAACTCAATCTCAAAACTAAAGACGTAAAAAGGTAATACACATATTAACTTCAGTAGAAATCTGAAACATCAGTGAATTGCAGACTCTTCTTGCTTAAGGTCAACAAACATCCCTTGGAAGACAACCAAGAGTAGTTTAAGACCAGGACAAAAAATAAAATTATAACAATAATAACAATAATAAAAATAATAAAATTAAAATAACAACGACCAACAATGAGGTAAACTCCCCTTAAAAAAGGCAATGTGTGTTGCCTGGACTGTCAGGAGAGAGTTCGATTGTACCTGACACCCAAATGTTTTTCTAACCAGAGTTCAGCCAATTGCATGGTTGAGGCAAAAGTACTTGCCTTGGATCCTAAGCACATCTTATGCTGCTTAGGGTCCAAGTTAGGATCACAATGAACTGGGTGGAAAATATGCACCACTCCCACTTCTTGACTTCTGAAGGGCCTTAAGCCAGATAGAATGACTTTATTGTAGAGATCTACATCTTCCAGTCCCCAGCCTTGTATTGAGGTATCAAATCCACCTGCACTCAGAAGATCGCTTTTGTAAATACAGGTGATTCCATATCCATAGTCTCTCCAAAATCCAGTCTTCTTTGAGAACACAAAGTCACCATCATTGGGAGGATCTCCCCCATTGGTTACCTTTGGGTCATACTGGCTAAAGATGATAGGGTAGTATACCTGTTGTCCCTGAATTGTATTGTCTCTGCATCGTTGGAGAAAGTCTCCTCTGAAGGTCAAGTCAACATC